CTCCTGCTCACTTCCCTGTCCTGCCGAACATCTGCTCTCCTGGACTGTGCAGAAATGCTTATCCTCTCTTTCTCCCTCTAAGTCCACAGAAGGCAGAAGGGAACAGCCTGAGCAGTGGCAGATGGTGTGACCATGCAGGGAGGTTGATGGGGAATAGCTCAGCAGTTCTCTAGGCTCAGTGTGGCAGAAGGTTACCTGCTCCCTGGTATGGTCCATACTCCATTTACTGCCTGTCTGGGACAAAAAGGAATAGATTCCAGAGCCACTCTGTTTTTTTTTCTCGCTCTCTAGTTCTGTGTCTGCGTAGGGCTTGCTTCTGGCTTGACAGTTTTTCTCCATACATCCTGGAGCAAAGGCTGAGGGACACACGGGGGCAGAAAGGTGTTTTTAAATACACAGGATGTGCTAGGAGCGTGTGGGAGCCGCCATATCTATATTGATAGAGGACACAAGTGGAAAGGTGAGCCCTTCATTATATGGCTGTGAAAGGCTTTCCCCCGGCTCTTCACAGCGCGGGACAGCATTTCTGGTGGGGTAGCAAGCTTTACAGCTCAACTATCTAGGTCTGTTATGCAGAGGAAGTTTCAGGGCTGCCGGTTTAAAGCAAGGTTGTATTGTCATGGCAATTTGAGTGAGAAGTCCTCCTACAGCAGACTTCTGCTGCTCTGTGGGTATGCTCGAGGATGATGGGTGCTGGGTAGGGGCAGATGGAGAGGATTTTAGGAAGCTCCTAGTGAACGAAGAGATAGCTTGATGGTGGTTTCTTCATCCTTCCTCTTACCCCAGTGAAGCTTTTCCCTGCTGAGCACCTTTCCCACAGCCACAAAGCTTCTGCTCTGCTGTTTCCCCTGGCAGCCTTGGGAAGGAGGCCCTGGAGAGGAGGCATCGTTCCCAGTGTCCTTGAGGGCATTTGCTGTTTGGTAGAGCAGAAGGGACAGTCCTTCAGCCCCAAAGAAGAACCCCTTTGAGTTGTTTCTAGAGGACCAGATCTCTCTGTGGCAGCAGATGTGGGATTGATTGAAGAAGTCCATGTGCTTGGTGGAGTTAGCCATAGGAAACTCGATGACAATGCACTACCGTGCTTTTTAACTCCAAGTGGATAGGACCTGTGATACCTAATGCAGGGCCCATAAGAGAGTCTCGGAAGCAGCGCGAGTTCCCAGGTCTGTGGTGATGCCTCAGGCAGCAAATCGCGCTCTGACCAGGGCTGACATTTAGACATGAAGCATCTCATCAGTGCAGAACTGATCCAGGGTTGGCTTCAACTTTTCCTGAGTTATTCATGAGTATGTGAAAGCCCTGAAAAACATGACAGACTTTGGGTTAGGTCCTCAACACAACAGTACTTCTCATGAGATGAAATATGAGCATGTCCCTGTTAAGACAGGAATGTGTGCAGAGGAAGCTGTGAACTAATGGCATATATAAAGGGAAAGTGAAGTCTTGTGCTGCTGGTGGGTTTGCTTTCACTTCCCTCTCCAGAGGAACACTTCACTAATGAGCTACAAGCACTTGCAGTGTGGTTCAGAGCAGTTTGCAAACGTTTTGCCCTGGAACTGCTTTTGCATGGGGTTTTACAAGGTCACTTGCTTGTGGGTGTGGAGGATTTGAGGATCAGGAGCCTCTCTGCAGCTCCTCTTTGCCACAGAGAGCCCTCAACAAAGAGGCCAACTGAAAATTTGGCTCATGTTCCTTGTCAAGCAGCATGCCTGAATCCGGAGCATTTCGGCCTGGTTGCAGTGGGGGACTGTGGGGAGTGTGTGGTTCAGAAAGAGGTTGCTTCAGAGCACTGAGGGTGGGAGGAGGAATAAGGGAAAAGGCAGGGGTGCTCGGAGGCCCAGAGGGTTGTGTGTGTCTGGGAGAAGACAGCATGGCAAGGCCGTAAGTTCTCTTAAATACTCGTGAGCCGCTGGACCTTCCTTATGGGAAAGGATTTGGTCCTGTTTTCTGAGAAATAAGTGGGAGTTTTCCTCTTGGATTGCACAAGAGCTGGTCTGGGAGCACTGTTTATATAAAGGTTTGGACCCTTTATCCCTTGTCCTACCACTACAGTCCCTGATGAAGAGGGTTGTCCCATCACAGGTTTATTTAAAGCTGCAGATGTGAAAATAACATCTGTATGGGCTCTGCTGCTGTGTCCAGAGCATGTGTGATGGTGCAGCTTCAAAAACAAGGACAGTGCTATCTACTTTGCATTAGCGAGCTGCCTGGGGGAACTTCTCTATGCTGCCTTTTTCCTGGGGAGAAGACTGTAGTAGCTGGCAATGTGGTTTAGGGTGGTCAGTGGAAAGGCGCCTATATTGAAGAGCAAAATATGACTGCTCTTGTACAGCCCTGGTTTTGGTAAAACTGGGTGGGTTTGAAGTAAACACGGAATTCCTTTGTCAAACACCACTAATAGCTGAAATTGGTGTACATGAAGTGCTACGAGTAATCTTCTGCCTATCTGAAGAAGTGTTCCCTTCCCTGAAAACTAGTGACTCCCAACAGATTCCCGCAGCATTTGCTAGGTATGTGGCAGGGAGATAATAGAAAGGATCACCATCGGGTGGAAAGGAAGGCAATGAAAAGTGAGTGTCCTGAACTAAAACTGTTCCTGGACATCGCTGGCTGTGGATTGCACTCACACTTTTCCGACCAAGGATTGCAGCCACACCATTCTATTTACAAAACCCCCCTGACCAGCTGCGTTGTGACCCTCCACACCCTCCACAGGAGAAACCCTGAACTGATTAGAAACAGGAAATAATAGAACTCACCAACCACAAAGTAAACAAGCAGAGATGGTGAGAAATACCCATCTCCCACTGACCTCTTTTCAGCACAGTAACCACAGCCGATCACTGCAGTTACTGGGGATTTACAGCTTTTAGGGGGAAAGTATGTTTTTAAGTCAGTGCTGTCAAACCATAGTAAGTATTTTCATCGCAGCCTCTCCCAGCATAACAATAAGGTGGCCCCAAGTGCCATGGGATACATTACTGACACCATCTTGAAGTGAAAGAAAACTTCAGGCCTTCATCTAAACTCTGCAATCATGTGTGATAATAAACTGGGCTAGTCTTTAATGTCTTTTGTCTTCTAGGATTTGTGGTTTGCTCTGCCTGTTTGCCTTGTTTTCTCTGCCCATGAGTATTCTGCGTGCTTGGCTGCAGGGGTTTGTATGGGCTGGCCCCAGCTCCCACCCTCATCTGGATCTTTGTGGAGGGATGATCCTCTTCATCAGGGACTGTAGTGATAGGACAAGGGGAAATGCATTCCAGCTCAATCAGGGGAGATTTAGGTTAGGTCTAAGGAAGAAGTTCTTCCCTGTGAGGGTGCTGAGGTGCTGGTACAGGGTGCCCAGAGAAGCTGTGGCTGCCCCATCCCTGGCAGTGTTCAAGGCCGGGTTGGACACAGGGGCTTGGAGCAACCTGCTCTAGTGGAAGGTGTCCCTGCCCGTGGCAGGGGGTTGGCACTGGACGACCTTAAGGTCCCTTGTAACCCCAAGCAGTCTATGATGTATTTTCTGCATTGGTGATCACTCCAGAGGTTCCCTTCAGTAAAGGAGGAGGTTTTCAGACCAAGGGTGGAAACTAAGGTTGTGGTAAGATCTGTACAATTCTTTGTCTTTACCAGCCTTCTGACCATGTGGCTGAAGAAACCTTCCTTGCCTCCACAGAGCCATGTGTAGACCAGTTGTTTCTCCTACCACCCTTATGCCACTGCTCCTAATGGCTTTTCGGGAGGGCTGGATAAAAGGGAGAGCTTCACAGAAAAAAGATGCTAAACCCAGAGGTGATGGTTTTCACTCCTTCGGCACATCATCAAATAGATCCTCTGCATAATGAGCCCCTCTGAACTGCAGGTCCATTAATTTGTATGTGGGGTGTTTGTTCAAGAGCTCCTTGCTCTTTTATTTGAACTGTAAGGAGCTTTTAACTGCCTTTGAGATGGAAAACTGGGAACAAATGTTGCTGAGCAGATTTGTCCCAGTCTCCTTGGTTGAATTTGCAGGGAATTTTACCTTCTGCCCTTTACATTATCTCTGCCATTCCTTTGTAAGACAAGCTAAAGCATCGATCCAGGCTGATGAACCTAACTCCCTATTTCTTTTCTCTTTTGGAGCAACCTGCTATAGTGGAAGGTGTCCCTGCCTGTGTCAGGAGATTGGAATTGCATGAGCTTTAAGGTCCCTTCCAGTCCAAACCAGTCTGTGATTCAGAAATAAACCATTTGTGAGAGAAGAAAACAAAAGCAGGTCCTCTGTTTACTCAGAGCAGACAGGAGAAGGCTGGGAGAAATATCAGTTGTTATCTTCCAAAAGTTTATTTAGAATCTTCAGTTATGGAAACAAAAGAAATAACCCCTAAATATAACTATGTGTAACATACATATATACATGTAGCTCACCAGTTTAACAGTAATGTCAGATGTCCAGGTTTGGGAACAGCATGGCCCCAAGAGTAAGCAATCCAGAGAGCATTTCTAAACAGCCTAAAAAGTCGAAAGTCTCTCCCTTTCTCTATTTCTAATCACAGCAGTGTTTTTACAGGAATCAGAACCAGCATCTCCTACAGCTGCTCAGGGGTAATAGTAAAATTAAAAAGCACAAGACATTGGCCGTGTGCCCCTTTATCCAACACAGTGATCTCAACGTCTTATGTGAGATCCGAGAGGTAAGCTTGATGCCAGAGAGGGTCATTGTTTTTTGTCTTTTATTATTGTATCATTATTAATAGGAAGTTAATCATTCTGAGGATGTAAGCAAGCTATATAATTAATATACACTAAAGAGCGTGAGAGGATGCTATACAATAATTTAGATTATTAAATAAATAAAAAAATAATAGCAGCCTTCTACAATGCAGGCTACACGTAGGCTTACTTCGGCTTGAAGTACCCTGGTCTTTAGTACACCTACAGGAACAGACTTGCTCCACAAGTGTTTTAAAGAAACATATCTATAAGATACATACGTAAGAGTGTCTAAGGTTAGGATAAACATTTTAAAACACACTTTACCATGGTCTCCACATATCTAATGACCCCATTCTAGGGTTGTTATGGGAAAAATTGGGCTGCAGGACCTGTCTGGGAGGTGCAGCATCAGCCTGGCTGAAAACAGACAGCGGTGGCAGCTGGAAGGAGTTTTTCAAAGCCTGCTTGTTCTCTGCAGCATAGAAGCGCTCCTGCGATGGGTTTGTGCCCCGAGTGCTCCCCTTAGGGCTCAGGGGGCCTTTTGGTGTCAAGAGAGGCTGCTGAGATGGGCTTGAAGACCTCAGTGCTGCTTTGCAGGCATCTTCACCCGACCTGGGCAAAGATTTGAGCAGGTGGTTCAAGAGGCGTGCCCCGAGAGTCTTGTCCATCCACTCGCAGGTGAGGAGGAGGTTGTGCACCTCGTGCATGCACTGGATGTACCCGGTGCTGTACCGCTGCTGGGCTTCCAGACCCACTTTGGAGTCAGCTGTGTTGGAGAGGGGACAAAGGGGAGTAGGTGAGCAGGTAAAAGCTGCCTGCTGTGTTCGTGCTTAGAAGCATTCACCAGGTCCTTTTTAGCAGGGCCTGTCGCGATAGGACGAAGGGTGATGGTTTTAAACTAAAAGGGGAGATTCAGGCTGGACACGAGAGGGAAATTTCTTACAATGAGGGTTGTAAAACACTGGCACAGGTTGCCCAGAGAGGTGGTGGATGCACCATCCTGGAGACATTCAAGGCCAGGCTGGATGTGGTTCTGGGTTGAACCACATAGAGTTGAAGATGTCCCTGCTCATTGCAGGGGGTTGGACTAGATGAGCTTTGAATGTCCCTTCTAACTCAAACTATTCTGTGATTCTATGATTCTGGGTTTTGCATATACACAGATGGGGTCCTGGGGGCTCATTGCTGAACAGACTTTCTGAACCGACTGGGCTTTACTCTAAGTTGAATCATTTGCAGGGCTTTGGTGGGCACCAGGCATCCAGCCAGGGTCAACCCACCACAAAGGGAAAGGTGATGCAGGGCAAAACCAGACCGAAAAGCAGAAAGTGGCTCTGGAAGTGAAAAAAAACCACCTTCCGCGGGTTAACCAGTGCCCAGCTCCATCTCCCCATCTAGTGGAGAAAACCAAGCCCGAGCAGCAGACCGGGCCTCATCGGGTTTGAAAGATGCTTTTGCCTGTGCTGGCAGCGTGGGGGGACAGGGCACTCACCCATCAGCTTGCTGCTCTGGATATTCTGGAGGTGCTTCACCGTCATTTCGAGGATGTCTGCTTTTTCCAGTTTAGACTGCTGATTAGGAGAGAGTGCAGCAGTTAGAAGGGTTTGTACCACATCCAGAAGAGACACCCCCCAGAAAAAAACAATCCCCACCAGCAAAAGGACAAAAACCAGCATAAAAATGAGCACTTACATCCAGGTGAAATGCGCCCACAACTGTCTCTTTTAGTTGGTCCAAGCAGTTATTAATCCTTTCCCTTCGCTTCCGCTCAATGAGGGGTTTCCTTAACTGGCAGAGAAAAGAAAAGAAGAGGGAAGAGTTGCAGCTGATGTTTTTTCTTCTCGTCTCTGCTGCAGTTCAGCAAGGGCAGAAAGCCCCATCCCCTGCATGAAGCCAGCACAGGGTGGCACAATGCTCAGCATGGCCAAGAGATGGATGGAGAATGTGCATCTCCAGCTCCAGAGCTTGTGGCCTGCCCCTCACATGCTATTAGCTCTCAACTCTGCCACTTCCACTCATCTCAAGCAGAATTTACCCAAATGAAGGAGAGAGGAGCCTTTCTAAGGTGGAGAAAGGAAGCAGAACAAACACCCACATAGGTTAAACTCAGAGAAAGCATCTTAAATGAAAAAGCAAGTCCCCTTTCTCTTTCCTAGAGGATGCCCATAACCCCGCACTCATCACTCGCATGCCTGGCACCAGCAGCCAGGCAGGGGGCTGCTATTGCAGCAGTGTGAGGGGACCTACCTTCCTTTCCTCCTTGGTGCTGGCCAGCTTGTGGGTGCTGCCGGAGGTGGCCGTGGCGGTCATTGTAACCCAGGCACTGGGAAGGACGGGATGGGACGGGAAGGAAGCACTCGGGCAGTGGGTCGCTCCCGTTCCCGCGCTGGGCTCTTTGCTGCTCGGCTGCTCCTGTGCTGTATTTATAACCCAGAATTAGCATGTGAAAGGGGACTTTCCTTGGCGGGACTTCTTTTCCCACACGAGGGGTCGAGCCCGGAGGTTTGTGGCCATCAATCAAAGCTGACAGGTCACTGCTTCTTTTCAATGGCCGAGGCGCCCCCCCCAAACGGCGACAGATGTCCAGCCTCTGACGCCGGGCTTTGGAGGCAGCTTTTGTTAGGGAAGAAGGGAAGGAAAATGGGCGCGCTCTGAGCAGCTTGCACAGCTCCTCGCTCAATTTGCACAGATTCCCAGGGAGGGAAACAATAGCTGGGAAGCGGTTGAGTTACACCTGGGAAAATGCCTTCTGCCCATCTTTTCCCCCTCTACTTCCTGAAAGCGTTACCTATTTGTACCTGCTAATCATCTCACATCTTTGAAGAAGCCTCTTAATTTAATAATCAAGTACTTGAGCCAGGAGTTCCTGCTCCCAGGGATTATTATTACAAGTTAATGATGATCAATTAAAAACTGTTGACAGCAGACACCCATAGAAAGGTTGTTTCAATCACAGAAATCCTCAAGGGAAAACACAAGGACTTTATTTTCCTTTAGGGAACCCGAATTCTCTGTTGCACAGGGATGGATGTGGGAAATCAGTAACTCTTCTAGTTTTTGGCTGCAGTGTAGAATTTAGCATTAAACAGGCCCTTACAGATGCAAACAAATCTAGAGGTGAGTATGTTCTATGGGTTTTATACTTCTGTGGTATTTTCCCCTGTGCAGGAGGGAGGCTTAGGTGGCTTTGGGAGGAAAGGTGTTGTTCTGTTTGCCTATCTGAAACACTAGTGCAGAAGCAGACAGGCCTTTGGGGGAGACTTGGCATAGGGTGAGAATGCTCTTTCATGCTTCCTCTCTTCTGGGGGTAGTACGAAAGTGTTTTTCATGACTGTGCTTTTGCTTTCTAATGGTTGCTTTGCTAATGAGCAGGATTTGGCAGTGTCCCGTTGAGTCCTGCAGGTGAAGCTTTGGGTTGGTGTCGAACGTGTCACCT